CAACGCAATCTGCAGTGCAGCCTCATCAATGCACTGGTGCTACAGATAATCACTTCTCAGGAGTCCATAATTCAACCACCCCCACCAACCTGGAGAGTGTTCTCCAGCTCCTGATTCTTGGCCAAGAGCAACTCCTTCTCCTGCTGGATCTCCCACATCACCTCATGGCTTGGACGCTGCTCTATGGCGTGCTTCAGTTTCATCGTGTGCTTACGCTCCAGTTTGCAGTCATCCTCAGCCTTCATGAGGCTGTGCTTCAAGTGGTCTATCTGCAAGAAGGTTCAGAGCTCATCAGTAATGAGGAGAAAATTCTGACCTGCAAAAGCAGTTCTCAGCTCCATTCCCAGAGAAACATGGGGCAAGCTTCTCCCCAGCTCTGTTTTCTCAGGAAGTTCGGTGCTCTGGAGAGTCCTGCTTGTGTGCCAATAGATGTGTGTTATTCCTGTACTGCTTTTGTGAGAGAGCACAGCTTGTAACACGTGGGCCCACAGGGCTGAGCTAGGAACCACCAAGACATGCCATGTGCTAGAGAAGATGCACGGTTCTTTACACTGGACTGGTCCAGACCATCCTGGGCAGAACCAAGTCTGGTTCACAGCACAGCCTTCCAGGGACCACATAAAGGGGAAGCTTGGGGAAAGGCTGACTGACCTCTAGGATCAGATCCCGGCTCTTCATGAGGGCAGCACTCTTCTCCTCGCTCTGCCTGGCATAGCTCATTGCCAGGCTGTAGTTCTCGTCCTTGCACTTCCGCAGCTCCTTGCTCAGGCTGTCCCTCTCCTCCTTCATCTTCTGTGCCAGCTCTTGGTGCTTGCGGAGGAGGCTGTCCCTCACCCACAGCTCTCTGATGGTGTCCTCTTTGGCGTGCAGCCAGAGGGTGAGCTCCTGTGCCTTCCGCCGCTCCTCCTGCACCATGCTCTGCAGCTTCATGATCTCGTTCATGAGGAGCTGGCTCAGGCCCGATTCCCCAGCGGTGTCTGTTTGGGGGGCAGGTGTCAGCCTCTGCTGTCCTGTCTGTCCCCAGACACACACACAGAGCACAGGCTCCCACCCACTTGCCACTGCAGCTCGGGATCACCACATGCCACACGCAAGCATGCAAATCCTGAAGACACATGTGATCAAATTAGCCACACTGCTCCCCCCTGCTCTGCACCTTCCTACAGCAGTGTCACCCCAGAACAGGCAGAAGGAAGAACTGAACCTTCTTCTCCCTTCTCCACCCTGTGACATTAGTTTTGCCAGAACCCTTCTGAAGCACACAGGGAACACTCCTGACTCTGCTCACTGGGGCTGAGGAGCAGCAAAAGTGGGAGTGAACCCCCTCTTAATTTGCAAACAACACCCAAGGAAAAGCTGTTTTTTCAGAACACAGCATTACCTATAATCATAGAGAACACCCTGCTGGGTTCCTTGCCAGTTACTTTCTTATACAGTTGTGGATAATAAAGCTCAAGACTCTCCAGAAATGCCTCAAAGCCCTTGTGTCCCGTTCGCTGCAGAATGTCCAGAAGAACACCTGAAATGATTGCAACAGGATATTCTATTATTTTCCTCTTTACCCATTTCTAAATTAACAAACTGCTTTACTTTCTCCACATGCAGATTAAAGTCCCTGGGATGAAATGCTCCAGCCAGTCCTAAGCCAACTACCCAGTAACTAACCAAAAGTATTTTAACTGTAAAGAACAGTTCAAACCTAACCTTTGTACCTTAGTCCTGCTACAGCAGCTGCAAAGAGCAGCTCTCAGAAGAGCACGTTATGTTCCCCTGCTGATCCGTGGAGCCAAAGGCTGCACTTGACCCACCTGCCTTCCGCTTGCGCATGACCAGGCTGGGGTCATTAAGAACTTGCTCCTCATCATCGTGGCTGATCACTTTGCACTGCCGAAGATAAGGTGTTATGCGGGAAGGATCTATCACAGAGATCAGCTTCACTCGGAAGTCCTCCAGGTTATTCCAACATGTCTCATCCTTATCTTCTTCCAGCATGGTGGTGAGTGAGAAGTATGAGCGAGCAATGCAGTCCTGCCTTGAAAAGCAAAACAAGCAAACTCTGAGCCTCCTGGAGCAGTGGAGGCAGCAGTGGTAGAACCAAGTATGTCAACAGGCTGACAATGGGAAAGCATCTTTTAGACACAGAACCTCATCTCCATGTGGTCTATAGCTCACTGGTTGCAAATCACCTGCAGAACATGGTGATATGCTACAGTCACATGACAGAAAAAACAGTGGTACCACAGATTGGAAGCATCAACAGCTCTGAGGCTAATGCCAGTGCTGCTGATATATATGTGAAGGAGAGATAGTGTGAAATACTGAGTAAACAGAAGTCATCAAAGCTTGATGGCTCCCTCCAACCACCCAAACATCTCCTAGATCTCAGTGCAACATGAAAGTGAAACTACTTAGGAACAAGTCTGCTGGCGATAGCCACTGAGAGCCCCATGAACAGAGGAAACGCAAATGAACTCTCGATTCTCAACAGTGCACCCCAAGACATCACTGCCCAGTCTGACTGACTTCACCACAGATTTTCCAGATACTCAGCTATGCTTCATATTAAATCTTTACTTTACAAAGAAAGACTCCAAACACCTTCAGCATGCACTTGTTACACATCACACTGTCAGTTAACTTCAGTGAGCTGGACTGACTTACAGAGAAATACCCTGCCTGCCATCACACCAGCCCCACCAGATTACACGAACTGCATTCCCCTGTTGATAAAGACCACATCCTTACCTCAGAGCTGTAAAATAGAACTTTTTTCCCTTGTTAATATAAACCATTCTGCATTACAGGGACCAACCTGAGACTGTGCAGTCAAAACAGCCTCTTGGTTTCCTCTGCTGGTCTAGCAGCACTCATTTGTGTCCTGTCTCTGAGAAAACTTGTCTTGGATGCAGCATCCCTCTATAGTCTGGCTAGAGCAAAGATCATTCCAGGAGCAAAACTGGTTTGAGAAAAGAGAAAAGGGGAAACTACTCAGCTCTGCCCTGAGAGGGGAAAGGGAAGAGGGGGGAAGACATAAAAAGCAGCAAAAGAGGAAGCCAGAATGGGTGATGGGGGAGGAGTGGCACTGCAAGTTGGCAGCACTACATACAGAGTGATTTTAGGTTCATTCTGGCTTTGTTTTCCAATCTGTAGCACTGAAGTACCAACAAAGGTCCAGAAAGTTTCATTGTGTTGTGGTCAAGAAGACTAGAGAGAGTGAAGGTCACAGATCAGCTGATTTCAGGGGACAAAATAAATCATAGAGAAGAAAGAGGCTCTTCAAATGGCCTTTCAGCTGATCATGTAACATCTTTATACAGGAAAGCAGGTGACAGCAACAATTCTCTCTTGGTTTAGAGTTCAGCTGAAAAGGATGATTTCTATAATGATGCCTCTAATTTTGGATGTCCTTAAGCTTCAAACATAATGATGACAACTCAGTATTTTGAGGGAAAGAGAGTCAAGTCTTGGCAAAGCAAGGAACATAACCCACGATTCCCAAATTACAGGCTGTGGCTCTATCAGTAATTAAAGGAGCAGCACAGCAAGCAGCATTGTGATGATGTTAAAGCATCAACATCATACCTTTGACTGCCTCCCCGCCTTCCCACAGTCCCAGAACGGTAGCTGCAACAAGAACTCACTAACAGTCTGTTTTAAAGAAGTCTTGAGAACATACACTCTGATACCATGGCAGCATGACACATTTTCCCATTAGCTTCCCACTCTACTCTTTGTTCTGCTTTCTAAGTTTCTGGAGAGTTTCTCCATGTTATCATTAGGAGTGGGGCAGAGATGCTCAGAGATTCTTTATGCCTGTGCTTCTTGTTAGGCATTAAATTAGCTTCACACTAAAAAAAGATACAGCAGCTCTATTAGCTCTGCCCTTGCTGAAGGTAATCAGAATGTCTGTTAAGTGACCAATCCAGCCTCTAGAGTATTTGTTCTACTGTAACAGATCAGTTTAATCCTGAAAAAAGAACAAAACCAGCTGCTTCTTAGTTATACAAAGCTTTTCCACAAGCAATAGGATTACAAGGACATCGCTTGAGCAGCACTTGCAAAAGAGAACAATCATTTAGAGCACAGACCACATTTAGTACCAGTGCCTCATGGTAACAGCCCTATAGTGAGCAGCAGACAGAGCTGCATGGCAGAGCCCCTGCACATCTGAATTTCTTGCAAGAAGCGTTATCTATACTGGCTTATGGAAAAGAGAGTACCCTGCAAGAGGAAAGCCATTTCAACACCATTCCTTTTGCCCCATAATGTCCTGACACCCAATTACAGCACTACTGGTACCCAGTGTCCCTCTGGCCTGAAGCACCTTCATAGAAGAGTTGCAACTCACAGTGCTCTGACCTGCCTGTGCTCTGGGGAAGCTCAGCAGTGCAGTGGAATGAAGCAGCACGTTCTGCAGCACTAGATCTGACGAGCTTCGCCTCAGCTAGCCTCACACCTCTCTGCAAGATACAAATTGCTGGCTTGTGAATGAAGAAACAAGGTTTGAAATGATTTGCTAACGTGTGTACGGGGCAGGCTGTGGAGGAATCAAGACAGAATCCAAGCCTTATTCAACCCTGCAGTTCCAGCCACATGCATATTCATTTTCCACATCCTCCCTGGCTTTCATGCATCTTGCAAGCTTCATTTTTCTCATTAGCAATCACACTCACACACACATTACTAAAAGCACAATTTACCAGAAAAAATAACCACACAGAATACATCAGTAATTTTTAAGTGAGAAAAATAAAACATCTGTATTTCAACAAATACTCCAGGCTCATTTTGATACAAAATTAATCTGCTGATTATTCAGCAGTATGCAGCCAGTCAGCTATGGAGCAAAACCACTGTAACAGCACTAAAAACCCACCCAGTGAATAACGTATTCTGAACATGGATAAACATTCACATAAATAGGGGCTGACACAACAAGGAAAAAATAACCAGGATTGCTGGTTTTCCCAGATCTCCAGCAATCTTCTCCTCAGCAGAGAAACAGAATTGGTCTCTGCTGGAAAGACTTCCTTCAGTCTTTGCATCTTGTCCAAAGATGCAGGCTTTAGGCAATGGGAAAACCAGTCCAGCCTTTTTCCTCTTTCCCCAGGTCCATCTAGTCAGGCTGTTGGAATTGTTAGAAGTGAATAGTGCAAACAGCATCTCCTACTGCCATGTAGGAAGGCAGACCTCGTTCAAGTGACTCCTGCAACAAAGCACAAACAACTCCCATTAGTCCCAGCATTTTTATAGGGAATCTGCCCTTCTGGAGTATTTGAAACCAATTTTAGAGAACAAACCCAAACAGTCTCATCTGATAACCACATGAATCAAACCCTGTTCATGTGCATTCAGTCTGTTTCACCAAAAGCCTCAACAGATATTCAGAGAGCACATGCTTGTACCCTGCGGGTGGTGTCCTGTTATACATGTACAGGTACAATACCAGGAGGCAGCAGCATGGACTAAGTCTGCCAAATCCTTGAACTTCATGACTTTTGTACAGAATTTTATCATGCAGACATCAGCTTTTCCTCCCCCAAAAGCATCAGCCTTAGTCTGTGATTAATGGGTGATCACAAAACTCTGTCCTATAGTAAAAAGTCAAGCTAATTTCAGTCCTTTCCTAGGGTCATGATTCATTGTCTCACTGTACCACAACAGACACATGTGTTTCAGGTTCTCCTCTCAGACAAGAAATACAAGGTTCACTGAGTAGTTACTAACACATTTCCTTCTCACATCCTCCTCCTCTTTCTGAAGCGGGTGCTTCTCCTGATTTGAGGAGCACTGGCATCAGCTGCATCAGTGCAGGAGTGCAAGGCAGACTGTGCAGCATTCTCTTCAGCTCCCATGCCCTGCAACATAAGCAGAGAGACTATCAACACCACGAGAACCAGCATCATCACAACAGAACCCCTTCAGCCATCTTTTCATTTAGGGAACTCAGCAAGATTTCCAGAATCTTCCATTTGCCTTCCAAATGAAGCATGCAGACAACATCATCCTATTACCAATGTGTCAGCAAGCACAAAACACACCAAAGATTTCAGAGTGAAACTTACAGCCAACACTGGCATTTCTTCTTGCTTCAGCTACCAAACTAGAGCAATTCCTGCTGTAGTTTCTGTCTGGGTACAGCCACTCGTGCCTGCCACAAGTGATACATTAGCTGTCACTGCTGGAGCCAGAGCGTCCCAGACAACACAGGTCTACACAAACTCTCAACTCTCATAAATTATACCCCTACCATGGATTTTTTCCTGAAAAGCATTAGGACAACCTGGATATAGCATTAGTAGCAGGAGTGGGAGGGAGCCTGGTGAAGGATGACACAGGACTGAGGTTGGCAGTAGAGCTGCTGGGCAGTGAAGAACTGCTGTGAGTGTTGGACCTACTGCTCATAGTTCAAATTACACTGAACATGGCCCAGACCCAAAAGTCAGAGCCAGAATAGAAAAATACCTGCTGGCTTTTACTATGGGAAAGCTCTGATTCTTACCTGATTTAGTAAATCAGCATCTCTGTCTACAGGCTCATCACCAACTGTCCAATCCAGCTGTACTCCTCTTAACTCATTCCCACAACTCTCTTCCTCAGACACTTCCTTCTCACTCTGCCACTCCTCTTCGTCACTCTCTTCATATTGCTTCCTGCTGGCTGACAGAGTCGTTGCCACTTTCGGAGGAGGCAGATTTGCTAGTACAGCTGGGAGTGTGAAGGCTGCTAGGAATCTGGCTTTCAGTAGGAGGTAAGCAGGGTTATCACCAAGTTTCTCCTGCACCAGTTCTCCAACAGCGTGCAAATCAACCCCGGTGCCCTCATCCCCCCTGAAGCCAGGAGGCAGAAGTGATGCTGCTTGCTCTTCCAGAGCTGCTTTCTGGAGAAGCAAATTTGCAAGGGCTCTTAAATTGCACAGAAAAGGTGGCAAATAAGGCAGCCTGGTCTGCAGGGATGGTACCTGGACACCCTGTTTCCCACTCAGCCACTCCTTCACCAGCCTCCCGTCTTCAAGGGAAATGAGGCCCAAGTCAACAACAGTCTTTTCTGCCCTGGAAGTGGTTGGCTGGGGTGCACTGTCAGCACACTGCACAGCTGGGGGCTTGGAGGCAATAGGTCTGTTTTTCAGTACTTGTGCAGCAGAGTTGCTTAGGGAGTTGTTATGAGGAGCTGGAACTCCTGGCTGGAGCACAAGTCCTTTTGTGATGATGCCTGGATTGGATGGTGATCCATTTGTTGTAATGGAATCATGGCTCTTTCCCAAGCTAGCGAGACTCGACACACGCTGGGAATCAGCTCCCTGAGTGCCTGCGGGTTGCTGTGTCTGGGGCAGCAGCACAGCATGCAGGGCTGGTGCATCGGGTGGAGGAGCAGTCTGAGCTGCAGGGGAGTCCGAAGCCTTGGAGCAGCCCTCTGAACATGCTGGTGTTGCCAGAGAAACACTGGCTGTGGTGCTTCCAGGACTTACAGAGGTCATAGACAAGGTAACTGTGGAATGGTTACCTGCCTTTCCCAAAGATGCTCCTTCTGCTACCTGGGCACTCGGGGCTTTTGTCTCTGTGCTGCTGGGGTGAGGTGCATCTGCTCCAGCTGGTACAGGAGGCACTCCTAAGCTAGAGACATTGCCACTGGAAGTCACAGTTGCCTGACATGGATTTCTCACAGCAGCAGCTGGCAGTCCTTGGGGAACCCCCACCACAGTTTGTACAGCAGTGGGGAGCAAAGCCTGGGGGGTTATGACCCATGTGAAAGGCAGTATGCTGTTGGGAATCAAATGAGAACCAGTTTGTGGGGTTACAAGAGTCGACAAGAGACTGACAGGCCTCTGTTGTGGCACACTACTATTCAGCTCACGGGCAACTGGTGTGGAAAGAGGCAATTTGTTGGTGCCAGACTCAATGCCAACAGGCAGCACTGTGATCTGATGTGGCACAAAAGATTGGTTTTGTAACACTACTGAAGCTGAGCTGCCTGCTAGGACCTGACCATTGCAGACTCCCTGATCTGGGGCCTTCTCTGCTGCAGCTGGATCCACGCCTGGAAAAATCCCTGCTTCAAGTCTACCTTCCAAAGCTTGTTCATTTTGTTCCTTATTGGACTGTAGTTCTGTTCCTTGTGAGGAACCAGGGCTTTCCCCACTTCCTGGCACTGGTGAGGAATGGTTTTTAAGCACAACAGTGGTACAAGTTGAACCTGTAACAGAAGTAAATGCTGGCAGTGCAGCTGGTGCACACTGTACCTGGTTGTTGGTACAGCCAACTGCTGCAGGTTTGCTCCCTGCTTGTGCAGAAGGAATGATTTGCTGTTGCGTGTGCTGGATTATCAGAGGCGCCGAAACCAGCATCTGTGGGGCAACAAACACTGTCCTCTGCACAGCCTTCTTAGCCCGGGACTCTCTGAGCCGCTTCTCTCTCAGCAATTCCGAGACAGTTTTAGGCTTACGCCTTTGCACTTGGGCTGGAAGAGCTGCCTGTGTGGCTGGGGTGCTGCTCTCAAAGACAGCAGCAGCAGTCTCCCTTCCTTTTAATGTAAAAGGTCTCCTCACGGCATTCCTCGGGATGCCCCTTCGGGAGTTCCTCTGAACACAAGATTGTGATGAGCTGCCTGCAAAGGAGGGGAAATAAAGCAATACAGTGAAAAAGATTGAACAGTATTTTCAAAAGCCATTCCTTAGCTACTGAGCATCAAGTACCCTGCACAGGAAACAGCAGAATTCCTGTTTGTGAAAGATCCTACAACACTACAGTTTTCATTTAATCAAGCCCCATCCTGACATCCTTCAGATTAAATGTGATGCAGCAGCAAGCTCACCACTAGTTCAGTAATGATGTAACTTTCCCCAGAAATCACAGATAGGACAGGATGGCACCTTAACACTGCACCCAAGGAACTGTACTGCTCAGCACTACATGGGCACTTCACCCAGCTGGGGTGACAACAACAAACTGGGGTTGTGGTTAGTGCCAGCACCTTGACTCCAGTACAGTGCTGGAGAAAAGCTTAACAGTGATAGTCCACAGACCTGGTGGCCCATTGACACTGGTCCCCCAGCCCTTCGGTATCTTTTCCAGTCTTTACCAAAGGGTAACATATTTAGCCAATAACTGAAAGATCCAAGAGCTAGGAAAAATGAGCATGGCAATGTGGTTTTGTTCCAGAAAGTCTCCTTCAGTTTAATTGGTCATTAATGTATGGGTAATGGATTAAGGAAACGTTCTTGAACATCATGAATGTTCTGGCAGGTACCTGAGGAAGTGTCCATATTTTGGGAAGCCTGCAAAAAAAAATATTAAATTATACTTCTGAGATATGTAAAGATAATTAACACAGCACAGACATGAATCAAACCCACATCTGCCAACGTCCTATACACGCAGCCACAGAACCAGCACTTTATTATGCTTCTGAACCAACACAAACTGGTAACACACATGCACAAAGAGCTCTGCTGGCCCCACAGTTCAAAAAACTCTGCTTTAGTCAAGATTTGAGAGGGAAAAGCTTAGAAACCATGCACAATACCTGCTGAGGCCCTGCATCAGCCCTAAGCAGCGCTAACTGCCTCGGCCTCCTCTCACGAATAACCTTCATACAACCGTTGGTATCAATCTGAAAGAGCTGCAAGATGAGAACTTCATTAAAATTTGCTTGAGAACCAGAATGTTCTGACAGGGCCTGAGACAAAACATGATGGATGGGGGAGGCCTTATGTGCGAGGCTCTGGGGACATTCTTACACTTACAGAAAAAAGCCTTGACAGCATTAGAATTTGGATGCAGATTTATTTAAGAAACATCATATGCAAGCATGAGGACAGATTAATCCAGTAATTCAATTAAGAAACCAAGATAAACCATTATTTAAACACAGAAGATTGCTACTGTTTGAAAGCAGAAAATCCTCTTAAGACCGTAAACCTCACCTGAATGAAAAGCGCAAACAGGGGCGTGCTCGTGAGATTGATCGATTTAATCTTCTCTCGAATATAGTCAGCTAGAAAAGAAGCCCAACATCGCAATCAGCTGGGCATTCCTTTGCAGGATGCCAGGAAGCAGCAGAGCACTATCCCTGCTGGGTCTCACTACCTTTTGTCTGATGAAAAGCCATCCTCCCAGTCTGCAGGCTGCAGGGCAGCAGCACATCGCCCACCCAGGGTGTCACTGCCATCAGCAGCTTTCTGTCCAGGTTCATTCTTCTCAAGCGCTCTCTCTCCTGACGACACGTTTTCTCTGTGATGTCCTGCAGGCCCGGAAGCTTCTGGCCATCAGTACTAACTGCAGATGCTTTTGTTAGAATGGCAGCAGAAGGTTTTAGTATCTTTGATTGCTGTGCATGAAGAAATACACAGTTAAGAGTTCTAGTTAGGAAGGCTCTACCACAATCAGCCCCAGGACAAACCATTCACAGGGCAGTTCTGGAAAAAATTAGGAGCTTTTCCTCTTGGGACTACAACAGTGCAAGATGTGTGATTCTATCACACCAAGTACAACCCGGCAGTGCTCGTGGCACCGGAGCAGACAGGACAGAAAAGGCACTCACAAGTTTCCTCTGGAAGCATGTATTATTCCTCAGTATTCTTCTCACGTTCTCCAAGGTAACCCGCAGCACTTGCTTCCCACACCTGGAGGCCTTAATATGAAAACATACAAGATAAAAGGGAGGTAATCTCAGAAAATTCCTTGCACTGACCATACACAGAGGTACAAAAGTTTTCAACAAACCTGCTGGTTAAAGTACCTTATTCAATGAAACCAGCCTACCAAAGAGCAGACTTTTACTTTATCTTTTAGTCCTTGTGCATCTTCACAATACCAAATGTCTATGTCATAAAAACCTTTGTGTGAAGTAGCTACAAAACCCACACTGAGGGTCAGGATTTATCGGATGATTCTCACTGCATTTTTTAGCTTAACAGGACAAAGGAAAGAACAGGAAGAAGTCTGGAAAAGCCACTGACTCTTCCCTAAACTTCTACCAGTAAAATAATGCTGTAAGACTGATTACACTAGATGAGTACTTACAACCCTCCCTTACCATAACCCCAGAACAGCCACTTCTGTAAATAAACTTGTCATCAGTGCAACTGGCTCCACAGTCTAGGGCATGTAAGTCAGAACAATATTGCTTACATGATCCTAAATAGCAATTTAGACACTTAATATTTTGCTAAGGAGCATCTTTCTGCAAATATGCTCCAGGAGTTTGCAGGGTTTCAGTACCTGACCTGGGCTGAAAACCAGCTCAGAATCAGAGAGAGATGTGTACGTTAATTCTTCCAAACCCTAAGCCAAAACACCCTAGTGACCAGGGTGGAGACACACAAGTCACTGAACCATTCTGCCTTATGAAGACCTAAATAAAGTTCTGTTTCTGTGACCCCACGTGCAGAAAAAGCACAGCAATTTCCCAGGTAATGCACAGGAGGCAGCGCTAGATATTTCTGTTTAATTTACAGCTCATTTTCCAACAGCACCCCCCGATGGCACAGTGAGAAAGCGGCCAAGCGGCACGAAAAAGATTTGCCGTCTGTCCTTCACTGCAGCAACTGCACTTCCCGGTCACTTCTGATCTAAACTCTAATCCCATCGAGAATGGGCTGAGAATCCTAGGATTCACCTTGCTTATTACTTCTGCTGGATTCCTCACAACGATGTCTGTGGAATGTGGACGTGCAATGCCCCTCAGGAGGGTGCTCAACTCTGATGATTGATTGGCAACTCTGTCCTTGTCTCCATCACTCATTGTACTTGGAACTTCACTGCTACTGGGCTTTGTACTCGCAGGAAAGAAAAGGGATGGAGTTTGATAGGTTCTTTTGCTTGACTCCTGTGTATTTGTCTGTGTTGGTACCCACAAATCAATGTCGGGCAATGTACACTCCTCCTTGGCTGTCGTCGTCTCCTCCTCCGAACTGTCTGACAAGTCCAGTTCTATGTCTTCACTGCTGGTCTCGGAAGAGCTGGAACTCTCTTCCACGTGCCGGCGCTTTGTTGGTCTGGATCTTTTCTTCTCGGAGAGAAAAAGGACAGACAAATTTTAGCCAGTGTCCACCCTTCACTTGTTAAAGTTAAAAGCAAGTTAAAAAGTTTCACAGGGCAGTATCCTATCAGTAGCTTCCAAATGGACAGCTCTGCTTTACTTCTCCTAAGATTAACTAAATCCAGTGCAAGTTTAGAGAAGCTTAATTAAAGAGATGGGGCTGTGTCACAGCAGGAATTTGCACAATACCTTAGACCCAATCATGAGCTTCCACTTGCTCAGGCACTGGGAGCCAGTACGATGTGGCAACTCGGAAGCTATTTTACTCCAGTGACCTAAAAAAGATGCAGAGCAGAGCACACCTATTAGTGCAGCAAACTGAACAACAGGCCTTTTCAGTGCAGAACTTTATACATGTATTATGTGTTTCCTTGTATAAGAGACAGAGTTCCTATGTGAATGGATCTCAAAAACTTAATATCCAGTTGTGTTCTTCAGACTTTGTACAGCTGTACATTCAGCTCAAGTTAGAAACTAGTAGAAAATGAAGCAATGATGAAAACCCAAGCAGAACTACACCCTCCCTTGCAGCAGTAAGAGTGTTTAGAAGAAAGCTCAAACTGAATGTTGAAAAGCTTCTATTTGCTAATTAAAGTTGTCTTAGGGAAAATAAGACAACTCTTTCACAGGCTGTTTAGAGGGGAACTCGCCCTACTCAAAGCTCTGACACCTGGCTAACACACCTATACAACTGTACTACACAATCTCTCAACAACTGAATTTCCAGGAACAGAGCACACAATATAAGGGAGGCTGCAATCATCAGTACGATGTAGAGCCTGCTACTATCAACTGCAGGGCTTAAAATAAGAGAAGAAAACTTAAATTCCTTAGTAATACTTACTTCTCACAACTTCTGAAGATTAAGGCACAGAAACACTTACCCAGTCCATGCTTTTGAACCAGTTCAATTAGCTGCTCCTCTTCCTTCAAACTCCACTTGCCCTTCTTTACATCACAGTGCAATGCTTTTAAGTACCTCCAAAATGAAAACACTAAAGTAAGTAACATTCAGTCCTGCTTGTACAGTTCTGATCATCACTGCATACTCCAAGGCTGAACAAAACCAGCATTCCTAGTCAGATCTTTCCTTTTGTTAAGGGGTCCATCCGTACTCCCTTAATATAGCACAGCTACAATCTCTTTTGTTCCCAAAAATATCAGGCCACATGATTAAGAATGACAACAGGCAGCTGTAAATCGGGTCACGGGAATTAGGCCATACTGTACTCTGAGGCTCCTGAAGCTGGGTCCAAGGCTGACAATTGCTCAGCAGCTCACTGTTTGTGTTCTGTTACAGTCACTGAGTAGACCATTGTCACAGATCCACAGACGACACAGATGACAACCTTCCCTCCTCACATGCACTCATTCACGTTTAATGACCCCTTTGCTTATTTTGAGCAACATCCTTTCCAACTTCTGCTAACCCACAGGCAACTCCACTGACGGAGTTGCACAGCACAGGCAACAATAAACTTGAAAGCTCAGTTACCACATGGAACGTACCGGTCTCTGCACTGAGCATCACTCCTCCCTGGCACTTCTGTCCGAATTTTGTACCAGTCACGCTCTCCATACTTCTTAACTGCAGCCAACAGCATCTGTGTCAATCAGACATAGCAAGAGTTGAAATTCTTATCAGCAATAACCCTAATAGGCGTGAGACAGAAGCAGTTGTGTTTGTTTCTACTGTGTTATAGAACTCTGAACAGACATGTTTAGGAACTTCTAAGCCTTCTTGACTTGTGAACGGTGCACCTCGGTCTGTTTTAGATTCCTTTGTGCCTCTCTTAAAGCTCAGGTGTAGACAGCCATGCAACACCTCAGCAGTCTAACCCTCCCAATTGCCCTAGGCATCAGAGAACAGAGCTTACAGCATCTTCCTCTGGTGTCCAGGGTCCCTTCTTCAAACTGGGGTCCACGCTCTTTGTCCAGCGGTAAATCAGCTGAGCAGAATCTCTTCCTTCCATGTAATAAGCAACTAGAAATGCAAAGGTGTGTTTTAAAGTCTGATGCAAACAATGTTTCTTCATTAACTTACAACTGTGATATTTCCAAACACTGGGTTGACATAAAGTCTCAGCTTAAATACTTAAACAGTCTTACACAACAAGAATCAAAAGAGCATGGCATACACACTATTTGTAATGGCATTATCCACACTAGATACATGACAACCCAACAATCCATCTTGAAACAACACAGAACTAGTAAGTTTTGGCTCCAATATGTATCTGACAGGTTCAAGACACCAGGTGTTACTCACAGGCTTGGATTTAGGACCCCAGAGACTTGGTTACTATTCTCAACTGTATTCCTCACTTGTCACACAGCCTCTCATGCTGCTGAGGAAGAGGAGCAGCAGTATTGACCCCCTAGAATAGCTTCTGGGCACAGCACAGCATTGAAAACTGCCAAAACAGCTGGGCACAAATGAATGCTTTCTAGGGAAGAACTCTGATGATTTTGCTATCATCAGATATAAAATCAAAACTGACACAATCGGAGTGAATAACTCTGTCAGTTTCAACCAAATTTCAAAGACAGATAAAGGTTCCAAGAGATAATAAATTCTTGCTGATATAATGAAACTTCCACGCTGGCACAGGAAAAGCACACACCACTGTTCCCATCAAGGAGGAAGAGGGAAAACTCAACCATCCCCTTTCATTCATCTCCCCAGTGGGGAGGTTTATAAGTGTGTACATCTGTAGTTCCAGGTGAGTCACAACACTGTTGTGCCTTGCTCTGCCCAGAATGTTAAGGTGAAAATGCAGAACTATGACTATCCTGGAAATGGAAACATTCATAGGAAATAAAACTTCATTAGTTCCTTGAATCAGAGCAGGCTGGGTGCTCCAGTGTGCAGAAACATCAAGACGTGAATGGAAAGCACTTTCACTTGTAGGTCACTTACTTTTCTTATATGGGATGTGACTTCCTACTCTCATTTCTTGAACAAGCTCTAAAAGCATCTGATCTTCACCTCTGGTCCACTCTTTTCTTTTCAGATCTTTATTATAGACTTGATACTTCTGCAAGCACTGGAAAGGTGTCCTGTTCGTCTTAATAGAAGGAAGAGAGATATGCAGGTAACTGGTTATTTATGAGGACAAAAAGCAAAAGGGAAAGGTTAAAGTATCAGACCTTTTTAGTACTGCTCTTGGTCATTTCTAAGAAAAGAATTAACAGTGAATTAACACCGTTAATGAGGCACAGTCCAGTCAGAATTAACTGACTTGTCACCTCCTGTTTGAGCTCAGAACCTTACCCCCAACTCCTGGGCTATAGCCTGCCAGTCCAGATAACCATGTTGAGCAGCTATCTTCTTTAGCCTCTCGATTTCCTCCTCAGTCCATTCCTTTTTGTTGATGCTTGGATGCTCCCAGTTTTGCCAAAACTTCCTCAGTTCTTCCGGACCACGTTGTCCATCAAACTAAAAGAAAGAGAAGAATCTGTTTTGTCTCATAGCTGGGACTGAAACACCCAGGCAGACAGGAACACAGATGCAAGGAATCTATTTTGCATTCCAGTTATAGTTTATTGTTAAGTTTTGCAGAACTAAAACATCAAATTAACAAGTTGAGATCATGGAGCAAGCAAACGAGACCAGGTCAGGTAATTGCCAAGGGAAGGGACACAGGTATCAAAGGTAACAAAACTTGGTCTCTCAACTTACATGGATGTTTGAGATTTTCTCCCAGTCATGCTCATCGAATCTGTTTCCTAACAAGTCGCTTTCTGGGAGTTGGCTAAAGCAGAAGGTACAAAGAGAAAGAAAGAACACGATTCTTAGTAAAGAACTGTGGGGATGAGAGCTCTGCAGAGCCTGAACAGCACTTCATTCTTTGCAAGCCAATGCGAAGGAAGATTTCTGCAAATGTCACCTCTGGAAGTGCTCGAGAAAGGTGGGAATGTCAAGAGGAAAACTCCCAAGAACAGACTTTCATTTTCACCAAAAACATAAAAACATTTCTCACTTAATTGCCTCTATTTCTCGCTCCACTTCTTTGATTTGCTTCTCCAAGATCTGTTTCTCCATTTCAGTCTTGACTTTCTCCAGTTTCTGATTCCAATAACTCATCCTGTTCAAAGACATTTTGATCATTACTTATTATGACTGGATGGGAATAAAACAATGGCATCAGAAGACACAGGGCAATGCTGCTTTCTCCATCAGTATCATGCAAGTTTATTTCCACACTACACAAACTATTCTTGTTCTAGTTTTTCCCACACAGCACACTCATTATTCTATTTTTGCCCCTTCAATCCAAATCACTGACCCAGAACAGGTCTCGGATTAATCATTTTGGTATTTACAGAGAGAACCAATGGTTGCTGCAACAGCAACAAAGACTGTACCAGCACAGAGATCTCCAGCTGGGCACACCATTACAACTCACTGTGCATCACTGGTGCTCACAGGACATGCTGAGGGAAGGTGCAGACCCCACATATATCCTGTCTTTCCTTCATATATAATGTTCTCATCAAGAGAAAGATTTTTGCACAGTACTTACTTCAGTAACTTGGGCTGGAGCAGGCGCTGCAAGCGGTCACTGACTACTGATTTCTGCAGTAATGTCTTCTCCCTGCTCTTCCCTAAACCAGAGAACATAATTGAGCATTCAGACATCAGTGCAAAGCCACTGCCAAGAAAAAAAGAGATCCACTGCTTTCAATACCCCAGCTAAAGCATCCCCCAGGTCTCCAATAAGAGCTCCCTATCTAAATCACTAATATCACGCCTGACACAGGCAAGGCACAGCCTCTGGCTCAGTTTCAGTTCCATAGAGTTCAATAGAGATCAGCAATGAAGTGTTTGGAACCCTTTAGGGCTGCAAGTGTCCCTGGAACTGCTCTAATCTGAGCAGTGCCCTTGCATGATCTCATCTGGCTTTGGAGAGCTCACGGGGTTATTGCATCAGAACAAATGCAAATGAAGGAAGGGAGCTGTTAATCGTTCCCTGGAACAATTTCTGGAACATCCCATTTTACTTTTAACTGCCTTTTTTGTGAGTCAAGTATGAAACATCAGAACATTTAACTGCAAATGTGGGGGACTAACAATATGAACATATACATTTGTTATAGCTCTTAAGGAACAGTGAACAGCACATGGAGTTACTTACATTTTGCTGAAATCAGTTGTTCAAAGGATTTTATGCCCTGAGCTGCCTTTTCCTTGGCATCCTCATTGGCAGGAGGGCCCTAATGAAGATTACAAGGGTTATATATATACTGGAAGAGTCAGATACACATTAAAATTGCCCTTCCTTCTTAGAACTTAGCATGAATTGTTACAAAAGAGACTGGTAAGAAACTCAAACCTGTGCAAACTGTCACATTCAAACTGCAAAGTTACTTTCACTGACACTAGCTCACATGCACCAGAAGACCTAAGAAACCAAATAGATACATGAAAGAAATAAATTTGTCTGTGCTTACACAGCACATAGCTCAGAGCCAGGCCTGCTTGTGTTAGTTGACCACTGAAGAAGCGTTTTGAACATGTATTACATGTTTGTATGTACTTCAGATGTGCTACCAACTTGGGTAGGATTTAACAGATGAATTACCAGGCAATGCTTGACTGTTGGGTTAATAGAAGAACAGTGACAGTTGACATCTCAGCTACAACTAAAAGTCAAGATCCCCTTTTGCTAACAACACTTTAAAAACACATGGAAAAAAAGTAGTGACATTTGCCACAGAAAACTCAGTTTCAAAGACAATGAAATTTCAACAGTACTTTAAGCAGCAGCATGGAATTGGACTGTGGAGATGAAAACAATCAATCACAGTTAAGTTGAAAATAAGAATGGTCAAGTGCCCATGGCTAGAATGTCTCTTCTCAGAACCTGCTTTCAGACATCACAGACATGGGCTGAACAAGTATTTCCAATAGAGAGTAAAGGACAAATGAGGAAAAAACAACATTTCAAAGCCAGGAGTGACATTCAGTTACTCAAGTAAAAGGTAACACAGTTTTAACAGTTACAATTTATATCTACCATTGAAAGCCATATCAGTATGTAATCTAGTGATGTTTACTTACAATTCCTGTTGTTTTATCCTTAAAGTACGGCTTCATAAAATGACCCAAAAATATATTTGCTGGTAGATTTCTGCCATCTCCTGCCTTTGCTATTTTTGGACCTCCAAGCTCACACATGATCTCCTTCTGCAATACAAGAATTAAACAGTATCAGTGTCTCCTTCAAATTCCTAATTTCAGAGAGCAGTGGCTGAGTCACCACAAACACCCCAGGCAGGGTCCAAACTCAATTTACACCAGGCTGTAAACCAGTGTATGTGTTAAATATGGCATTTGGAGCTTCCTAAGGTTGTACAGTGCACTGCAGCTGATTAAGAAAAACACTAACCTGCTACAAGAAACTAAAATATAAAATACCCAAGTGATGCATTTTTGGTGATAAGAGAGCATGGAAACATCAGTCAGAAAAGCCATTTGAAGGCCAGTGACACCTGTTTGAAGTGCCACGAAGAACAAGAACCTGGTTCTTGGCCAAGCCACCTGAGCACAAGAGACTGCAACTGGTGCAGTCAATTCCACTGGTACATATGGTGGTCTAGGAATGCCCCGGAAAGTTTTACTGGGTTTGATGTCAAGGCAAGATGGCAACCCAAAACAGCACAGGAATGAACATTTTACTCCTGTTCCATTCACCTGCTGCTCTCTGTTTTGTGCAAGGAGAAGCTCAACTTCCTCAATCTTTTCCTGGATGACTTCCTGGTATACATGGTTCATCTGCAGACAGGTTTCTGGATCCTGGGGCAAACTGCTTTCCATATCATCACCATCATCATCATCATCACTACTGTCATCTTCTCTTTCCATTTCCTTGGAGTAATTGAGGAATTTAAGGGAAGGAAAGGGAGAAAAATGCTTGCTTGAAAAGCAGGTATGTAACATAATTATTTCTGTAACTCACGAAATAAGAACAATCCTTTGTAAATAATTAAATTCAGTTGAGTTTTGCACATAGAATTAAAGGTCACAGGTCTTTAGTAACAAATAGCAATGAGAAAGTATCTTGGGTATTGGGTTTCACAATAACGAGCCAGAACTAGATGACTGGTTGCTGACAGGACAATGGGACCTTCCAAACCTAAAGTTCAGCCAGAGGACGAAGCGATGAAGACCAAGATGATGAAGAAAGGACCACCAGGGGTCCCAAAGACCACTGCCACGTTATTGTGCGCATGCAGAAATGGCCGTGGATTTATGTAAAGCAATTCTCAGAAACCTAATTAATATGTATGACATTTACTGGAAACGTAATGAATATAGATGCTAAGCAACAATATAATCACAGTCTGTTTGATGCTTGAATGAGACACATTAGGAGGAGAGATCCCCCGTGTCTCCCAGCGCTGCTTGTCAACTTCAGCTTTGCTGGCGAGTTCTTTGAATCACTCAATGCTCCTATTACCCTACAAAACTGATTTAAAAAGAACTGGAGGCACATAACTGCTTGTCTCTCCCTGGCAGTTTGAACTGAACTCTCCCAGGAGCAGGTTCCAGCCCAGCCCAGTGCCCATTTGCCCTGTTCGTTAGTTCAGCTGCTATCTGAACCAGTCTGACTACAGACCTCCTGCAAACCAGGAGTGCTTTACACTGGAGCTCTCCCAGCTGCTAAATCTGCTAAACCCTTCACATTTCCAGTTCATTTGTGTTTCTACTGAAGCAATTAATCCTTTGCTTGATTTATTGTACAAGCCCAGCATACCTCAGGTACAAAGCAGTAAAAGACTGCTTGATCACAAACTGATGATTTCTTTCTGTGACCTCCCCAGAAGCCACTGTGTTTCCAGTGACAGAGATCAGCAAGAACTAGAGCAGTGAGGCCCCTGATCCCCTCATTTGTTTACATATGAACAGATCTCTTTCATGTGAATTACAAAGTCCTGGGCAGGAATAACTAAACCTCCATGTCTATTAATAATCCTTCCTGAGCTCCATTCAAGCCAGCTGCCTGGATTTCCCCAGCACAGAGCTCCCTTCAGTAGACAGATGGAGAGATATGTGTAAAGAGAAAGCAGTTACCATTTCAGGATGAGAACCTGAGTCATCATCTTCATCATCATCTGTTAGACAACAAAAATACAGAAATACTGACTGCAGTGGGAGTACAAGAGGAAAGCTTCAAACCCAAACCTTTTCAATCAAAGCACATACAATAACACATTGTACCTCAGTCAAGACCACTGGAGTTTTTGGCTACTGGCAATATTGTCAATATATAACAAAAAAAATATATATATATTTTTTTTTTAAAGTAGGAAAAAAGCAGCTCCTGATCGCTACAATCAAGCTGCATTTTGGTGCTACACTTCATGGCACATTGCAGGCTCTAGAGTATGCAGCCAAGTGAACATTCCAACCCAACAGAACCCGTAAAGCACCTGACAGCCCTTCCACCCTCTTCAGGAACATCTGGGTTTGCATTCAGTGTGGCTACAAGCTTCTGACATACAGTATTCAGACTTGCATGATGGGGTCAATTCAAATACGGGTGGATGAAGCGACTGTGACAACCAGAGGTACCAAAACCCCAACTCTATCACCACCTCCTCTTCGAAAAGTTAACTCGGGGAGGCATAGGCAGGGTGTGAAACAGAGCTGCTCACACAGCAGTGCCTGCACTGCCACCCTGACAGCATAAAAACAGCTGCGGTTTAACTACGGACAGCATTTGGTGGGCTGCGTTTCATGAGTCAGCTCCTTACCACCCGCCCTGACTGGAAACCTCCACCAGCGGTTGGATGGGTCCTCAGCGCTCCCCGCTAGCCTGACCGGGGCTGCGCCGGTACAAGAAGCTCCTCCCGCTAAGGGCAGCACTAAGGAGACGCCTCGAGTCCGCCCACACCGGGCAGGAACAGCGCGGTCACCGGCCAGCGCCGCACCTCAGGAGCCGGAGCAGGGGAGGCAGGAGAGGGCCGAGAACGCGCCGCGCCGTACCCGTGCCGGAGCTGCAGTCAGACACGTCCGCGCCGCTGGCGGCCCCGCCGGGCTCCAGGCTCCGCTCCAGCTGCTCGATCTCCCGCCGGATCTTCTCCCGCTCCGCGTTCAGGTCCAGAGCCCCGACCGCGGGGCTGCTGCGGGGCCCGGCCGCGCCCGGCCCGCGGGACATGGCGGCTCTGCGGCCTCGGGCCTGGCCCGCAATCACCGCCGCTCACCGCGGTCAGCTGAGCCCGTCCGCACGTGATACCGCGCAGCCAATGGAGCGCGCCGCCGATGCCGCGGAGGGGCGGGGATGGTGGCACGTGGACGGGAGAGGGCAGCCCCGGGTCCCTGCTCCCCGCCCCGGGCCCGCAGTGACCGGACACCGGCTGCGCCGCCGCCGCCTTTAATGGCTCCGCAACACCCGTCACACAGCGGCCGGGACGAGCGTTACAGCCCGCACCCGGAGCCTGAGCCCTCCCGCGCTGCACGAACCCCTCCCGACCCCTTCTCCCTCCGTGGCAATGGAACAGTCCGGATGGGGACAGAACGGCAGCGGGAGTTCCAGCCAAACCCGAGTGCTCTGTGGGGTCCCAGTGGGAAGTCGGGGTGCAGGGGAAGCAGGACCCGCAGCCCCAGCCCAGAGGCACATACTCTTGTCCATTCGGGCTTTAGGACTCCAGTGGCAGCAGCACCAACAGCTCTGTGTATCACAATGAGGCCAAGTATCAAAACCAGAGTTTTTGGGAATGGTTTCCGTCCTGTTCCAGTCACTGTCCATCTTGGGACACTTCTGAAATCCTGTCTATGGATGTGAGGAGATCGGCGACAAGCTGCAGTGACTCTGCTCCAGAGACCAGCTGCCTGCAAGGAGGGGAGGACACAGCGTTAAGAGGGAGAGGGTGAAGCAGGCGCCAGGCCAGTTGTTTTTACTCAGGTACTGTGATTTTCTCAGAAGCAGTTTATCTGGACTGAAGACTGTGGTTCTTGAGGTACAGGAGCCTTGAAGAAGCGTAGGAGACCTACAGAGCCTCTATAATGGTTTGACATTAAGTAAAAAAGTAAGACTTGCATGTTCCAGTCTTTTTTATTACCTAAACTTGGAGGAAAACCTGTTGCGGGTGAGTAAGAACATGGAGCAGCTGATAACTGCTGTAAGATGTAAGAACCCAAGTTGCAATCCAGAAAGGTAAGCCCCTGGGGGCATTTAGCTGTGACCTCTGGATGGTGTTAGGAAGTCATCATAAAACAACTCACCTGATGGAAGCCTGAGAGTTGGTTATGACAGTGAGAAGGTTCTGCAAGGCAGCATCCGCGTTCTGCCTCACTGTGGCCAGACTCGCTGCCTGGCCCAACCTCAAGGCTTCGTTCTCCGACTTGTAATTCTTGAGCTGAACCTGGGGAGGGAGCAGGGAGACTTCACCTCAAAACCGTAGAGCTCCCACAGGTAATAATCCCCAGCTAAAGCAGCTAAAGAACACGTTCACAGTTTATTAGGTATAACCAACAACAGATCCCGTAACCAGACCACCTGGAGAGGCTCCTCCCAGCTCTGGAGAGCAGCCTCCCACAGGAAACTGAGCTGGAATCACACATGGCACATCCACAGCATCATGCCCTCAAGCCTGCTTCCTTCACAGACCCAACCAGGAGCCAGGGATGGAAGCTGTCACCGATGTGCCACCGATGTGTTGACACCTCATCTAATGCCATACGGGCTCTGCCGAACTCCCTGCCACATCCCTCTGGCTTTGAGAGCACTGCTTCCCACCTGCAGTAACGCGTTCTCCTGTTTCAGTTTTGTAGCACTGTTCTCCGCTTTAACAGCCCGTTTCTGAAATAGAACGGAGATCATTTATCCCACAGCAACGTGTTTAGGATGCAACAGGCAGTTTAAGCTACATGGGAATGCCAGATTCCAGCACAGAACTCTGTTTGGGATGCACCACCCCGTGTTCTAAAGGCATTAGAAGGGAAAGTGCCCCAGACACATCTGAGCAGCTGCCTCCTCTCCACCCTCCCAGTTTTCCTTTTTGATATCTTTCAGTGCCACCCATCACTTCTGGATGTGAAATTACTACTATATTTGGGGAAAGAGTAGTTGGTATAAATAAGCAGCAGGAGAAGCAGCTCCCTCCCCTAGCTCACATGGGACGTGCTTTTGGAAGGCTGCAAAAGAGCTGCTGAAGTTGTTGATGAATCCAGAAACAGGACTTATACAAAAACCGCCCTTATTTTAGGTAACAAAAGTTCTTGACTGGGACACGGTGTTGTTGTGGGGGGAAAGTCCGAGCCCACATCAGAGCTGTTCAGTGCTCACATGGGGGATGGGATCACTCCATCTTCCCTCATGCTCCCAGGGAAGGAAAAGAGAACTACACAGCTCTGACTGCAAGATGCCTCTGCAAGGACCACCACTCACAGTCATCAGCTGGAGGTTCTGTTCCACATGCTGCACCATTGCTTCCAAATCCTGTGCTTCTTTTTCTTCTTTGATTTTGTTTTCCTCAAGCTTTTTTTCAAGCTTCCTGACCCTTAAAAGAGACAACATTCAGTGAGCACCTGCAGCATTAAATACTTTCAGAAGAAAATGTTTTTCAGAAGAAAACAGAGAAGGAACAAGAAGCTTATTCTTTCCTGTTTAAGAGCAATGAAGACTTCCCACAGAACTACACTTCTAGGGGGTGGCTCAGGGGATTTCTGTGTTCCACAGACATTAGCATTAGTGGGACCCATCCAGAGGAAAGGCCTTATAGAAAATAATCAGCCAAAGAGAGTGTAATTCTGAAAAAGTTACCCCATCACCAGGGAAGCACCAGGTGCCTCACTGCAAGGAGCAGCAGAGGATTCAGATGGGAACTTAAGGAACCCTTAAACACCACCCTACCTTGGTCACCAGGTTGTTTAACCTCAGGAAAATCAAGGCTCCCAGTATCAAAGTGGTCACCAGCAAAAATTAAAAACACTTTTCTTGTTTTAAATGGCAGAGATTAAGATTATTTTGTTATTTTGAAGCTTTATGAAATGCCTCTTGTCAAGGCCTACCCTCATTGTTGCAAAGCACCTAAGCTGCAAGAAGTGTAAGCCACACACACACTCCTCAGCAGTTTGCTACTCACTTTCCAAGCCTTTTTCAAGATTAAAATCAGGTTAAAAAGCTTTTTAAACAAATAGCACAGATTTCAGCTACATTCTTCCTCTTTAAAGATGGTGACTGTCTCCACTGAGAACCTCTTTTAAGACAACTCCTTATCTATGTGGTTACTTTCCCCCACACTGTGGCTTACGCACTTGTCTGCTTGAGTTTCAGAGAAAATCTGAAGCTTGTTGATCTTGCTTCTCAAAGTGGCATTCTCTTCCTTCAGCTATGAAAAGAAAAACCCTCATTAGAAAAGAGGGTGCTGTTTCCCAGCACTACCAACACTCCAAAGCCAGTACCACAAAAAATACCCAGCTTCAACTCTAGTGCCGGGGGGTTTGCACTTTCTATGACACTCAAGCTTACTTTCACACCTTGTTTTGCCCTCTTGAAGCCACTTAACCACACTGACCCTGTGCGGCACTGGGTCGCAAGCTGAGTAATCAAGCGCTGTTAATTCTAAATGACCTCAAAGGGTATTAACTCTAAACTAACAGGACCTCAAAGGGCAGGAGCATGAGGAAGTCACCTGTTGCCAAAAGCTGTGGGACACACAAGGTACAGGCTCCTGCTCACGCTGCAGCACAACTTTTCAAGCCTACTGCTCTTCAAGCTGCGCTATCAAGCTGCCACGCGCAGCCAAGCGGTACGCGCAGCTCCTGCTGACGGCAGCTTCGAGAGCGAGTTTATGCCGCAATCCGGCACTGGAGCTCGGCTGATACAAGACAGAGGCCGCGTTAGCGTTTGTGCCCGCCCCGGGCACGGTGCCGGGAGCCCGGCCGAGGCGCTCACCTCCTCGTAGCTGGGCTGCCGCAGGGAGGGAGAGCCCGGCTCCGCGGGGACTCCGAGGAAAGCCGCGCTCCGCTCCGCGCCCTCGCAGAAGGAGCCGGCGGAGGGCGATGCGGGGCACGCAGCGGCGAGGTGGGCCTGCTCCACGGCCAGCGGCTGGTAGCTCCCGCTCCATTCCTCCTCCTCCTCGTCGTCCTCCGCCTCGCCGGGCGGTGCCGGATCCGGCAGCAACAGCAGGCCGAGGCTCGGGCCGGGCTGCGAGCGGAAAGCGGAGCAAAGGCGCTGAAGTAGGCGCGGGACGAGCCCCCCTCAGCGCGGAGGGGCCCAACCGCGCCCCGGCCCCGGCCTCACCTGCGGCGCGTCCCCGCCGCCCCGTGCCTTGCTGCGGACGAACTCGCGGAAGGAGAAGGGGTTGTGCTCGGCCGGCAGCCCGCCCGCCGCCATGTCCGAGCCACCGACCGCCCTGAGGCGATGCCCCGCCCTCCCTCAGGACCGACCAATCAGCGACGGCTCCTGCAGCCTCACCCAATCGCAGCCACACCCCTGGCGGCGCTAAGCCCCGCCCACCCACTCCGGGCCACCGCGGCTGCGCAGCGAGGCTCCCGGTGGCGGCAACATGGCGGCCGCCATAGCGTGGCTGAGGGGGCGCGCCTGGGGCCCGGCCCGGCGGTGAGCGCGGCCCCGTGGGGCGGGATGGGGCGGGCGGGGAGGGGGGAGCCGGGAGCCGTGCCCGGACCCGCGGCGGGGCTGCCCGGGCACTGACTCGGGTCCCGCTGCCCCGCAGGTGCGGGCTGGCGGGCGGCCGGAGCTACAGCGGCGGCGGCGCCTACCCCAGCGTGTCGCTGACCTGCCCGCTGCCCGGCGTGCCCAAGGCGGTGTTCGCGGCGGCCGAGGGCCGGGAGCGGTTCGAGACGCGGGTGTCGGTGCTGGAGAACGGGCTGCGTGTCGCGTCCCAGAACAAGTTCGGGCAGTTCTGCACCGTGGGCCGTGAGTACGGGCGGAGCGGGGGCAATGGGGCCCGGGCGGAGGAGGGACGCGATGGGGCTGTGAAAGTGCCACTGACTCTTTTTCTCTTAACGCTAGTTCTGGTAAACTCGGGATCAAGACATGAAGCGAAATACCTCAGTGGCATCGCCCACTTCCTGGAAAAGCTGGCCTTCTCCGTGAGTCCTGTACCGGGCCCGGCGGGGTCTGTGAGGGGCGCTGTAAATGTGCACAGCTTGAGCAGCACCAGGGTCTGATCTGCTGCTATGGGTGGTGGCAGCATGCCTAGTTAGTTACTGGGACTGCAGATGTATTTTGAAGGTCCATTGTGCTTTCACCTTCGCGGTTAGTGGGTGTAAAATAGAACCGTGGAATGGTTTGGGTTGGAGGACCCTTAAAGCTCATCCAGTCCCAACCCCTGCCACAGGCAGGGACACCTTCCACTAGAGCAGCTTGTTCCAAGCTCCTGTATCCAACCTGGCCTTGAACACTGCCAGGGATGGGGCAGCCACAGCTTCTCTGGGCACCCTGTGCCAGCGCCTCAGCACCCTCACAGTCCAAGATGAGGCTTGTTCTGGGCTGCCTTGAAGGTGTATGAACAGTTACTGCTTTACTAACTCATAGCGTTGCTGTTTTCTTTCTTAGTCCACAGCTCAGTTTGGCAGCAAAGATGAAATTCTCCTCACCTTAGAAAAGCACGGGGGCATCTGTGACTGCCAGGCATCAAGGTATGACTCTCCTCCATGCTCCATCACCTGAGTAGCTCTAACACTGACAGTACCTTGAGGTGTCTGTTCTGGTGTGTGGCAGTAAAAGCGGCTTCTTGTTTGGAAGGAGCAGAAATCCATTGTGGTGGCTGTGCAGAAACTACAAAAGTGAACCTGAGAGGGGTATAAAAGTCTGTAGGCAAAGCATGACCTAGACTGGATGTCCCAGCACCCTCTCCAGCCAGACCTCAACAGTGTCCAGTGCTGGACACCACTTCCCTGGGGAGATTATTCCAATGACTGGTAGTTCTCACTGTGAAAACTTTTCCTTTTGTGTCTGGTTGGAATCTTCCCCAGGAATAACTTCTCAGTGACTTCTCAATGCAGAACCCAGGCTTTGTGTTGCAGGGACACCATCATGTATGCTGTTTCTGCCGAGGCCCGAGGCCTGGACACAGTGGTCAACTTGCTGGCTGATGTAGCACTCCGGCCCAGGCTGTCAGGTGAGGGAAGAGGAGTCTCTGCCTCAACAGAACAGACTCCCAGTGCATAACTTGCTGTTAATCTTCATGAGATTGTGTTCATCAAGAAGTTATGCAGAGATCAGGGATTTTGCGTGGTGGTTGTGATGTGTGATCTCTTCTTTCCCTCGTATTACAGATGAGGAAATTGAGATGACTCGAGCAGCAATTCGATTTGAGCTCGAAGACTTGAACATGAGACCTGATCCAGAGCCTCTCCTCACAGAAATGATCCATGCGGTAAAACACCCATTCCATCTTCCATGCAGCCCCTGTATGAGACATACTGCGTTCTCTTTTTCTGTTACTAAATTACATTTCAGTGGTGGGGAGGGAGAATTTTGTTGTCCCTCCACTTTGAAATCCTCCATTCTACCCACATGAAAGATTTTAACCTAAACTGCAATTATCTATCACTTGTCTTTGTTGACATGGGTGACAACATGTCACTGAGTTGTGCTGACATTAGTGAAATGATGCTCAGCCCCTCCCCTCTTACATGTCTCAAACAGACAAGCATCATTCTAAAGCAGGAAGGTTTAGATGGATGGATTGAAGTAGTATTTGTTACTTTAGTGTATCTGTTTCCCTTTAGGCAGCCTACAGAGACAATACAGTTGGACTGAACAGGTTCTGCCCAGTGGAAAACACAGACAAAATTGGCCGGGACGTTCTGCATTCCTACCTGAGGAACTACTACACGCCGGACAGGATGGTGCTGGCCGGGGTGGGAATCGAGCACGAGCAGCTGGTGGAGTGTGCCAGGAAGCATCTGCTGGGAGTGGAGCCGGCGTGGGGCAGCAGCCAGGCCAGGGATGTGGACAGATCCGTGGCGCAGTACACAGGAGGCATTGTCAAGGTGAAAGGAAGGTGGAGGTGGTGTCGTGCCTCGTCCTGTCTGTTGGAGAGGCAGATTTGGACCTGAGGTGGTTTCTCCATAGGTTTTGATTTTAATATCTGAGGGACAGGTTGATTATTGGGAGCACATCAAGCTGGATGCAGTGAAGGTGAAAATCAGTCCTGATAATCTGTCTGCCCTTCCCACAGGTTGAAAAAGATATGTCAGATGTGAGCCTGGGCCCTACTCCCATCCCAGAGCTTACCCACATCATGATTGGGTTAGAAAGCTGCTCATTTTTAGTAAGTATTAACCTAAAATCCCTTGTTCTGTGCTTGAGGAATCCCAGAATACTCTCTCATTATGCAAGCACTGGCACTCTTCCTGCTGATGCTGCACGTACAGACAAGCAGCATTTCACTGACAGTTTGAAGAAGGCACTGACCTTGAAGTTCCTCTTGTGCCATGTCTCTTTGTCCCTCTTTACTCACCCCAGACTCTCAGGAGCTCTGCTTTTAACTGACTGAACTTCTTGTTGGCATTCAGGAGGAAGATTTCATTCCCTTTGCAGTATTGAACATGATGATGGGAGGCGGAGGTTCTTTTTCAGCTGGAGGGCCTGGCAAGGGCATGTTCACCCGACTGTATCTTAATGTGCTCAACAGGTTGGTTTGCCTTTCTCTTTAAGGGGTAGCAGAAACAGTCTTCTAGCAGGTGGCCTGGAATTCTGTCACCCTCCACTAGCCCAGTCCATCCTTTCACTAGGGAATATTAACAGAATTGGCAGTAGGTACCAGTGATACAGCTCTGTGGTGTTCTGGGCTTGGTCTCAAGGATGCAAACGAAGAGCAGGAAGTAGATAGCACGTGCAAGAATCCTCAGAGGCAGGAACTGACCAGTCCCATTGGCATTGCTGAGAACCCTGACAAGGCACTAGGAGGGGTCTCCCTGTCCATGTTGGTTTAATTTTTACATTTAAATTCTCGTTTTTATTTTTTTTAATACTGTTTCTATGCTCCCAGGCACCACTGGATGTACAACGCGACCTCTTACCACCACAGTTACGAGGATACAGGTCTCCTGTGTATACATGCCAGTGCAGACCCAAAACAGGTACACAGCCCTGTATTCAAAAACCTGTTACCAGACCCACTTATTACCAGACAGCAACGTTCTAATCTTCTTTCAATTATCTGCGTTCCTAGGTTCGAGAGATGGTGGAAATCATCACAAGAGAATTCATTCTCATGGCAGGAGCTGTAGGAGAGGTGAGCAGCCCAGTGTGTGCACTTGGCAGATGGTCTTGGAGCTGAAATAGTACATTGCACTGGCCGGGCTAGAATGGAGTTTTGTAGATAAGCATGTCTGTATTTCTGTAAAAGAATATGGTAACTTCAGCAGCACATTCAAAGAGGAAGGTGTTTGCAAAACTCTTTCTTACACAGTACCTTGTGCTAGAGCACTGGCCAGGCTTTTGGAAACATCCGTTTGTATTTGCTGCTCACTGACAGGTAGAACTGGAGCGAGCGAAGACGCAGCTGAAGTCCATGCTCATGATGAACCTTGAGTCTCGGCCGGTTATCTTTGAGGATGTGGGCAGGCAAGTGCTGGCAACAAACACAAGGAAGCTACCTCACGAGCTGTGTGCCCTCATCAGTGAGTAGACAATGCTTTTCCTCAACTGAACTGTAGGTACAGTCAGCATTGCGCAACTTACACTCTTGCAGCACAGATGAGTTGCTTTAGGAAGCTGGGGGGCATAAATACTTCAGATACATATTTCAAACTGATCTCAACTGCTTACAAGCTAGCACAATGCTTATTTTTGTTAGAAGGAAGGAAAAACCAAGCAGGGTAGAGAAGCTCCAGAGTTGGTGATTGATTTTCTGAGCACCAATCACTTCGTAAAGCATCTTTATAAAGCTTCATGCTCTTCAGAATGTAGTTGTCACACCTCTGGCTTTGTTTTTTTTCCTGCAGGTCAAGTGAAATCTACTGATATCAAGAGAGTGGTCACTAAGATGCTCCACAAAAAGCCAGCTGTGGCTGCCCTGGGTGACTTGACAGATCTGCCCACCTACGAGCACATCCAGGCAGCGCTGTCCAGCAGGGACGGGCGGCTCCCACGGGTGTACCGGCTCTTCCGATAGACCCTGCACGTGCCAGAGCCGCTGCCTTTTGATATGGTTTTGAGATGATAATATTGCTGCAAACCACTTCCCCTCTCTCCCCCAGTCTTTCCAGGCAGACTCTGCAAACATGGAGCTATGCTGCAGCTGAAATAAACTGCTTCAGAGCACTGGGCTCTGAAGAGCTCGGTACCTTGGGCTTAAAGGCCCACCCTGGCTCTGGATGAGTACTTTGACCCTCTGAGTAGGTTACAAGAGAGGATGGGTGTATAGAGCCTTCTCTTGGCACTGGGGAGAACACTGCAAGCCAAAATGTCCATCATTACAACTGAAAGCATGTATCTGAGCAGAAGTCACTGCTGTGTGTTACCACTAAACCATACCAGCAGCAGAAGCAGAGCGGGCACACTGGAGGCCCTGGTGTGTGCCCTTGTTGAGGAATGGGGTGGCATGGTAAGAGCTTGGCTTCTGTATCTGAGTTAAAAGAATATTTATAGCTGCTACCAAGGTGAACAAAGACTTGGTCAGACTGAATTAAGAGAATACAGGTTATTATCTACGTGAAGTTAGGCGACAAGTTTCCTGCAGTCCAGGTTTTGTTACAAGCATCCTGGATCCATTTCTTCAGCGTAATTTACCAGCTGCAGTACTACTAGAATTCACATGTTTGGAAATAACAGTCATTTTAGTAGAGCTCAGAGAAAAGTAGACCTATGGCATAACACTTACTCTAGGATAAAAGTGATTCTGTTCTTCAGGTTTTTCACTTGTAAGTGAGCTATGCTCAAGAACAAGGGTTCTTTTACTCCAGAGATAGTGTATTAACAAAGTTCATTCTCAAAGGAGTCACTGCTACTGCATCTGAAACTTGTACCTACTTCTTCATTGTCAGTCAGATGAACTTAAGGCCTTGCAAAGAGAGAACACAATTATCAGTCTTGCAGCAGAGATGTAGCTCAGCTAAGAGCAGAGATCAACACAATACCATGTAGAAAGCTGATGCGCTTGAAATTGGCTGGCACTGTTACAGAAGGACATGAAGTGCCATGCATGTGACACTGAAGAAATGGAGACCCAAAAGAGAGGACTAAAACATTTGATTTACACAACTCCCCTAACATACGGGCTTAAAACTGTAGACAGCTGCAGTGCAGCACTTCACTGGCTAGGTGTGTATTGGGAGGAGCAATCAAACTGGGAGCAGAACACTGAGGCAGCTATTGCCTGCTTTATCCCCATACCTTTCCTTGTGCAACTAGAAGAAAATGTTGCATCGCTTCTTGTGGAACCCACAGTGTGGAAATCCTATTCAGTTGTTGTGTATGTATGTTTGTAAGAAAATAAAAGAGAACTTGACATGGAGTAGTGAGAGTTCTGAAACACGTTAGTTAATGGCTGGGTTTCATGAACTGGCAGGTGAAATGTGTTTTGTCTGTTCAATGCAAGTGATTCCAAAGGAATCTGTCCTGCTCTTCCAGGTGAAGCCGAATGGCTCAGGGCACCCAAACAGTGTCACACAGTCAGTGCTGGTTCTGACATCCTGGCAATAAGAGCTGGTGCTCATTTCTGGTATTGCATTAATTTATTTTTATTCCTTTAAAAAGAAAGGAAATCAAATACCTGATGGCTACAGCCAGGTCAGTGCCATGAACGTTTGTACCGCAGAACAGAAGCTCTGTCTTGGACAGCTTGCATAGGTAGCAGCACTTCCTCCAAGTTGTTTGCACGGTGGTTTATGTACTAAGGTGATTAATGATCCAACCCATCTGTGGCCATAAAGAATTCTTAAGTATTAGCTGTACGTGACCATTTTACCAGTGCCATACTGGTCCATGTAAGACGTTTAGCCTTAAGACAACACTTCAAAACCAGGAAGTTACTCACAGTTCACTGAATTGGAAAAATCCAAAGGAATTAACTAGTATCAGAGGTAATGGGACTGTGCTGATGTGACTGGCTGCTGTGTCTGCATTGACATCCCCTAGCATCCTGATCCCTTTGGTGAAGCTGTACTCAGACCAAGTGTCCTGCTGTGAAGGCAGGCAGCAGCATCACCCCTGCGGAGGGCAAGTGAGTTAAGGAAGGGATTGTTTCAGTCTCAACAGTCAGATACATGGTGTGAGAGATTGATTTTCCCCCTTAGCAACAGAAGGCCTATAGAACAGTTATTGAAAGGCAGTATCCCTACACTTCCAATGTACATTCACACAGATCTTGTTGCAGAGGAACAAAAAAGCCCAACACAGGAGCACTAAGCTTACACAAACCTGCCCAAGTCCCCTCACTGGTCCCTGTTATGCATTTGACAGAATACCACCATACATTTGGCTACAGATAAGGAGAAGAAAACAACCCCACAACATAAGTTAACCAGATCAAACCAAACAGACAAACAGATTCACCTTCCTGCAGGCTTTTCTGAGGTCCCTTGTCATGCCAGTTCCAGAAGCTGGGCCCCCTGCATGGAGTCATTTTAGAGGCTGCATCCGGTTGCTTCCAAAGATAGTATGGTTAAAATGAAATCAATTACATCTGTTGGGATGGATGTCCTACATAACTGACTCCATTTTCTTCAGCAAAAGCACTGAGCTACACGGATTAGCTCATGCAAATGAATCCAGGATGAGGTTTAAGACATTCTGCAGGAGCCACAGTGGCTGCCAGAGGTGCTTAGGCAGACAATTCCCTGCAGAGTTTGTCATGGCCTGAAATCCTCTTTCCGGGCACCTCTAACACAGAGTTCTGAGCTCAGGAAATGCTACATATGCTGCTGGATTTTTGGTCCTTTTGCTCTTTCCGTTTCTGAAGTTCCCTCGTAATCCGTCTCTTTATGCCGATTAAATAGAGTTCTCTGTCGAACTGCCCTGCAGCCAGTGGAATGCTACAATGCAAACACAGGGAATTGGATCAGGGTACAAACAGAGTCTTGTTTCCCCACCATTTCCCAACTAGTTTATACAACAAAGGCCAGAAACCTTATTTTTACTTTCTTTAGGCATTCAGCTACTGCTGTGGGCGAAAATGGCTAAAATATTGTTCTTCCACAGCAACAAGTGAAGCTTTTTCACATTGAAATGAAGGAAATTCTGGTTGTAAAAGGCAAATGTACATTCAATTTAAGCATGAAAATGCCAGCATTCATGGGGGACATTCTTTATGACCCTAAACAAAAAAACACTCCTTTGAAAAGCTGAACAAGCTGACTCCTACAACCACACAGTTCTTACCTCAGTCTCTTCTACAGAGGCCAGAGGAAGACCCAGCAGCATAGCTTCACCTATTTAACAGGTATTTAATAGCCATAAACAACAACAGAATAATCCCAATTCTAACTGCACTGCTGACCAAGTGCTTTGAGAAGTCACCATTTTCTAGATACCTGGGTCTTGACATCCCCGACCACGCAGAAAAGAGATGAACTCAATTTCAGCGACAACCCAATTTTCTAAGGAGTTCTATGAGCACAAGAGCCCATGAGGAACTTGGGAGGATCTCACTCCACTGATGTGTTGAAATGCAGCCACCACTGAGGAGGGAAAACAGCACTGCTCCCAAGGAGAGAAAGAGGAACAGAGAGGAAAGCTGTCCATGCTGACAGGAAAACCAGAGAGCTGCAGCTCAGATAAAACAGATTTATAGTCGATTGCAGCAGACTCTCTTTATCTCCCTCAGGAGGATTAAGGAACCCAGCCGCAGGGATTTCAGATGTCAGTGCAAGGTTTAAGCACTCTTACTGCTCTGACCACTGAAAGTGTATATTGGGTAAAAACCCAGAGGCTGCACAGAGCTGCGTGGGATAAACTCTATTTCAGGAACTCTCCTGAGAGGACAAACTGAACAGGAGCATATCCTCAGGTGGAGCCATGGGCAGCCACACACAGGGGCATAAGGAGGTACTAACTTGTCTCTGCCAGGCCTCACTTTCACCCGAAACAAGGCAAACACAGGCCGATGGTCTGAAGTTTTGATCACAGGACACGAGGAGTACTTGACAGCGTGGATATCATCCCTGTACCGACTGCGGAACACAACTCGGTCCTGCAGGGCAGAGAACGGGGGAGAGGGATGTAATTCCTTTAGCACATCCACCTGGAAAAAAGCACTGGTTCACAGGAGACAAATCCCTTCATTTATCACATTCCAATTAGTGAAATTAAGTGTCCTGGACAGGGACACATTCATGAAGAGTGAAGAACCAACAGTGGTTCTGCACCCAGCTCTGAGCACAGCACAGAATGCAATGAGCAGGATGGAAGGCAGGGAAAATAAGACCTGCAGCCTGTGCTCAACTCTTCCTGTGCTCTCAGATTGAACAATCCTTTCTTCCAAGCCAGCTCCACATGCCCTGCTGCCCCTAAGCAGTACATCTCAGCATGACTGTATGTCATGCAGGTGGTCTGTGGAAAGCAGCTTTTCCTCGCAGCTGAGAATCCCCTTTGGAGGCAGACACGGGGCTGAGCAGCCCCTCTGAGCCCCCTGCTCTGAAAACATCCCTACCGTGTAGGAAGGAGTCCTCTGTTTGGAAGTGGTGTCATAGCTGTCCTTTCCTATGTCAAACTTGTAGGAAGGGCGGAAATGAATGTCAGCCTCTTGGAATCCTTTGAAAATAGACCCTGTAAAGGAAGAGAAAAGCATGAGAGACAACATTCCTCCTTCCTAAGAACCCAGCACATTTCTGCATGTATTCAACACTGCTGGCTACAAACAACAGCCATGTACATCCATGACTAATAAAAAAAGCTGGGCTTGGGCTCTAGGAAGGAAGAACTGGAAGCAAGCTCCAGTTCTTACATAGTGAGGATAAAAAACAGGCAGTGGCTATTTAAACAAAGAACACTTGGTGCATGCACGTCCCCTTCCAACGAAAGCTCAGGATGCTTTGCAAGTGCTACTGTTCAAATCCAAATGCCTGAGATTGTGACAGAATTAGGTCCAGTTTATAGAGGAGTCAGATGAAACAGAGATCGGGAGATTAAACCATATATAGCAGAAAGCCCCTTGTACAAATTGCCACTGTATCTGACACCTGCTGACTTCCTTTTTTAGGGAATCTAATGAGAAAGCAGGAAAGGTCTCTAGGAAATAGGGATTTGGCTGTAATTATTTCTCTGTGTAGATATCTCTGCTCCTGGAGACTGGGAAGAAAATCAGCTTCCCCTCACCCCTGCTCATTTCACTAGTGAGCTGGTCATACGCCAGGAGCCTGGACACGTCTGTTTCAGGGTTCTGGTTCAGGATGGAATCCACAGTCTCCCGATCCTTATTTAGCCGGAAGTTAAAGTCACCAAACCAGAAGACTTCATCAAACCGTGTTGTGACATCACCTGCAAATCCAAGCCAGAAGGGTCAGAATGAGGGAGAACTCCCTGAGAGGTTTTGAAAGCAAGAATCCCAAATGTTTCTGCCCTGGATCTTCCCTTTGACTCTGGAAGAAAACTGAAGCATGGGATGTAGCTACACTCAGTAAAATGAAACTCCATGCTTTCAAGTGAGAGGCAGAGCTTACTGAGAGTGTTGCCAGGTGCATGACAAAG